CTAGGGAGAATAGGGTTCCTCTTATACTCAGATCTCCTTGTCCTTTAGAAAATCTACAGTGGTCTGGTTGTCTGACATCTATGTCCAAGTCCTCTCTTCCCATAGGGCTCATAACTGAGGTGCTTCCAGCCCTCTCCTACTATGCTTCAGAGGAGCTGATGTCTTCCTAGTTCCCAGAGCAGAGGCTAGTGACAGAGACCCTTTAGCAGATGGTGTTCCCTGTATAGCCATGTGGTCTGATGAATTCCTGTTCCAAGCTGTCAGAACCAGTCTGAAGAAGAGACCTCAATTTAATCATTGACTATGTCTTCTTGTCCACTAAACATTCAAAAGAAATCATCTTTCTTCTGAGGAATGGTCTGTAACCAGGAGAGTAGTTACCCAGCAAATATATCCAAATGTGAAGCTTAGCAGGGTAGAGTTACTGGGGCCATTTTTTTCTTAATGTTGATGGCAGAATGAGTCCTGTTACTTGTAGCTAATCGAAACCTATTAGATAGGTATTTTAAAGTTGCTGGCTCTATGTTATTATGAAAAAGATATTTTATTTCATTTTAATTGCTAACTCAATACTGATGGCATAAACAAAACTTTGGAGGAATTGATGTGGAAATGCATAAAAATATTTCATACTGCAGAAAAATATGCATAAAATATATGTTTTAATAAAAATATTCAGCTAGATATGGCAAAGCAGCTTGAAAGCTATCCACTATAATCTTGGCACTTGTGTGTGAGTTTGGGAGGCATTAATGGAGCAAGTAGACCCATGAAAACAGTTAGATGTTTCTGAGTGACGCTGAGATTTCAATAATTTTTGATATCTGTGATATAGGTATTATTTAAAACAATATTGCATAGGACAATGCAACTTGAAGAGACTGTTCAATGGGGAAGCACTGACTTTTTTGTTCTGACATCTTAGGGTTTTTCTGCACAATGCCTTGGCCACATGGGCAATATATGTGGAGCTTATCTGTAGAAATGTGTCCTAAGTTTGAGGGAGAGTCCATGAGGTACAAAAAGCATCATTCAGATGTTTTTCTCTAGAGGTGATCCATTAGCTAATGCATGCAGGAAGATGCCCCAGGGAAGAAGATAAACAATCAACACTACAACCATGCACACATCATCCACATTTAAAATGGGGAACCTTGAGTTGGAATAAGATCCAAAGTCAGTAAACATAAAACCAGTGAAACAAGAAAAAGTAGAGATGGGAGATGGATGAAATAAATATGGCTTTGCTAACCAACAAAGTAGGTTGCTATTTATTGTGTCTGAAATATGCTAGTCACAAGGTGCTTTCCTATAATTTCATTCTGTCTCCAGGGAGGCTGTATGTCTTAGTACAGTACATATAGCTTAAAAACTGTTAAACTATGACACTATTATATAATTTATAGGTGGCCATGGAAAAGCCACAGAGCCCTTATGTGCTTATGAAAAGAAGAAATCAATAGTTACACACTCAGCACATTTAAAAATCAAGTATGGTGTGTGGAAAAGTACGCATGGACAGTAGCACCACTTCTAGGACAGCTCTTTGATTTGCCTATGTTAGAACCCTCCATTTTCAGGAATCATGCTGTAGTTTGGAGAACTACTTTGAACAAGTCACTGAAGGAGGAAGAAGAAGTGAAAGTTCAGGATTGATCTTGCCTGGAAAGATCAGAAAGGCATCCTCTCTCCTGTCTATCTGTTTCCCAGGGGACCACAAGAATACAAGGACTGTAAGTCACTTCCTGAACAAAGCCTTGAGAATAGCTCCAGGGATGTTCCTAGGTCTCTAGAAGGAAGTATCAAATAAGAATGGATAAAGAAAATGTGGCATATTACACAATGAAGTACTACTCAGCAGTAAAAAAACAATGATATCATGAAATTTGCAGGCAAATGGATGGAACTAGAAAAGTATCATCCTGGGTGAAGTAACCTAAACTCAGAAGGACAAACATGGTATGTACTCACTTATAAGTGGATACTAGATGTAAGGCAAAGGATAACCAGACTACAACCCACAGCTCTAGAGAAGCTAGCCAACAAGGAGAACCCTAAGAGGGATGCATAGTTAGCCCAGCAAAGGAGAAATAGATGAGATCTATATGAGCGGACTGGGTGTGGGGGTAGGTAATGGAGGGCAAAAAATGGGGGATGAGAACATAAGGAAATAGGAGATTCAAGTCATAACAGGGACAGGGTGGGAGAGCAAGGAAAGAAATACCATAATAAATGAAGACATCATGGGAATAGGCAGAGGCAGGGTGCTGGGGAAGTTCCCAGGAATCCACAAGGATGACCCCACCTTGGACTACTGGCAATGGTTGAGAGGGTGCCTGGACTGGTCTACTCTGGTGGCCAGATTAGTGAATACCCTAACTGTCATCATAGAGCTTTCATCCAGTGACTGAGTGTAGCAGATGGATGCAGAGATCCACAGCCAGGCGCCAGGCCTAGCTCCAGGAATCCAATCAATGAGAGAGAAGAAGAATTCTGTGGGCAGGGGACGTCGAGATCATGATGGGAAAATGTGCAGAGACGACGACCAGCCACACTAGTGGAGACCCATGAACTGTGGACCATTAGCTGTGGAGCCCCCATAGAACTGGATTAGGCCCTCTGGATATGTGAGACAGTTGTTTAGCTTGAACTGTTTGGGGAGGGGGCAGGCAGGGGGATTGGGATCCATCCCTGGTGCATGGGCAGGCTTTTTGGAGCCCAGTGCCTAGGGTGTGACATCTTTGTGCAGCTTTGGCGCAGGGAGGAGGGAATTGGACCTGCCTCAGCTGAGTGTACCAGGCTCTGCTGACTCCCCATGGGAGACCTTGACTTGGGGGAGGTAGGAATGGGGGGTAGGTTGTGGGGGAAGGCTGGGGGCAGGAAGAGGGAGGAGGGGGCGATATGTGGTTGGTATGTAAAATGAATAGAAAATTTTGTAATAATAAAAAAAGAAGAATGGAGCCTTCAGACTCTCCAGAGTTTCTGGGACACACTCACTCCTCCCTTCATCAACTGTGAAAGACCTGTACAAGCTCAGTACTAATTGCTAACAGTATTTTCTTCAGAATTTGCTTCCTCTCTTCCAATCTTAATCGCAATACTCTTTTCTTCCCTCCCTCCCTCCCTCTCCTTCTCTTTCTCTCTCCCATCATCGCCCTCTCTTCCCTTCCTCTTTCTGTCTCCCCTCTCTCCCTCTCTCTTCCTCTCTTTCTCTTTCTGTCTCCCTCCATCTCGCTCTCTCTCCCTCTTTCTGTCTCCCTCCATCTCCCTCTCTCTTCCCCCTCTCTCTTTCCCTTCCCCCTCTCTTTTCCTCCCTCCCCACGCCCCACCAAGGGCTCACACCTTGATTCTCTGATTCTTCCTACAATGAAGGACTCCTCCTGCTCTCTTGTCTGAACACTGTCAACTTCTGGAGAATAGATGTTGTGACTGTTATGGCTCCACCTCTATCAGCCATCTTTATCCTCCTTTAGAAAATGACAGTTCTAAATATAGAGAAGGACTTATTGACCTTTGTGAAAGAAGTTCTCCTGTCTATCAACACCGTAGACACACTTATCCATCAGACTGAATCACTCGCAGTCCCCACCATGAGAAGAATGACTGCTAGTTTCCCTCCAACACTAAGTTCTATGATGGAGCTTCCTCTTTATCTCAGGACATCTCATGGTTGCCTGTCACTTGTCTTTCAGGGAGACTGTATTCACCTGATTACATTGTCTCGGGTGCCTGACCTGAGCTCTGTAGAGCAGTGGCCATGGCAACCAGATGGGTACCATCCTTGTGTCTCTTACTCTCCTGTTGGAAGCAGAATGTGTGCTGCTGTCCTCAGAGCAAAAATAGCTCCAAAGTCTCCTCCCTATAATGGGCATCGTAAAGTTGCCTTCTGGTGGCATGGACTCTCTGTATAGATGATTTCTAGGTGGCAACAAGTCATCACATCCAGTAAGTGCTTGAAGAAGGAGAGTCAACATTGTGGGTTTTCCTTCCAATGTAATATCCTACAAAAAGTGACCTGGGGTCTCAGCTCCAAGATGCTAGGGAGGATCAAGAAGCAAGTTACCCCATACCATGCACAGGGACTAGTTCTGGGGAAGATCTCAGGGGCTGGGTGGAGCAAAACATTCAGTTTCTGTGGACATCTAGATGTTAGGGCATTTAGTGGTCCGACAGACTTCACATATAATGAATTCTCAGGAATGATCAGGTCCCAGTGACAGTTCATCGCATCACAAAGCCCATGTGCATGTTGGTAGTTAAGTGACAGGTAAGTAAACAGAATCTTTTCATACTGGAAATGAAGTAAGTGTCTTTAATTTCTATGCTCACACTCTTAGAGTTATCATCACCAGGCTAGTCATGAGCCTAGACTCTTGACAAGGAGACAGACCTTGTCTGATGCATTGCTTCATTTATTTTCTGTCATTCTTTTCTTCAGCAGGACATATCCTGTGAAGAGGCCCATATTTATGATAACAGAAACCATAACGCATCCTTTCTTATCTGCTCAGTGGATACACATTTAAATTTGTGGATGATTTATTTGCTGTCTTCAAGAACAGAGAAGCAATTCAGACACATTGCTGTATCATATTCTCCTTTGGACTATTAAGTCTGAGAGGAAAGGCCATTAGTGTCTTAAAATATTGCACATTCAGGTGATTCAGAGCTGTCTCTGAGTTGGTTGCTCTGTAGCCTGCAAACTCCTCCTACAGTGGCAGGTGAGTCCCACAGTAGAAGGAGATTTTGCCCTTTCCTCACAGTAAATATGAATAAATATATGAACTAGATACATGACCCTATGACAGACAGCTTCCCTTATTAATGAAGGCCCTGCTCATCATGGAAGATTGCCTTGACTTGGTGACTCAGATGAAAAATATTCACCTCTCACGGTCCACTTTCCTGAAATAAACCCTTATTTATATTCCATCCTCTAGGTGTCAGGTATTGCCCAAAAGCTGATAGTGAGAAAAGTGTGAATCCCGTAACATACTCACCCCAATTCTCTGAACTTCCATGAAAGTTGCTCTTTGGAATGACTTCTCCCACACGGCCAGGTCACTGCCCAGCTCCACACTGAAGATGTGGCTCTTCCCATGGCTGGCCAGGACACTGAAGCAGTATGATCTGGGGTCTTCACAGTCAAAATCTTGGAGACCCAGATACAAGTTTGCCTGCAGCCAGTAGTTGTCTGAAAGCCAGAACTGAAAAATAGTGTGGATTGGAAATGGGTCAGGATTGGAGGGTTGAGCCCAGACTACAGACCACAGCCCACCATTTGGGAAGAGGGTTGCATTTGCCTTGTCTGGTGGAGGTCACCTCTTCCTCACAACCACCAAATGGGGCAAGTGCTTTAATAACACTTTCAGAACAACAGCAGGAGCAAATGAAAAGAAGGAATGCACTAGATGACCCTGATGATCTCAGACTGTCCTGTCCCCGCCAAACAACACCTTCCAATGATGTGCTTGTTTTGGAGCAGCCACACCCTCTCGGGATTTCCTCCTGTCAAGGTTAGCTACAGGGACCTGGATGCCATCAGTTGTTACCGCTTCCAGATGAAGGGTTTGGAAGCAGGCAACAGGGAACACTGAGAGGAGTCTTCTGGAACAGGCTGCTTCTCATACACAGCTACAGAAATGACTCACAAAAATATTGTACATAAGCTATGCCCAGACTCTGATTATCAGAGGTTAGCTTTTCCTCCTAAAAGAATGATAACTACTGTTTTTTATATTTTACTTTTAAAGACAAAAACTTTTAGACTCTTGTTCAGCACAAATCCAACAAACTGAGAAAAGCCCATGGGAGCTTTTTGTCTACAATGATTCCCAGATGGCCTGGGTGCAGCACTTCTAAGGAGGCGTTCAGGCCCAGAGCTGCAGGTTGGTAGCCACTGTTTTATCACCTGAGTTTTGAGATGAAATATTATTCCATAATAGGTCTCTAATGCAGAGACAAAAGTGTGTTCTTGTTCTTTCTCTTTTCAACCATAAATTGTAGTGAAGGAGTTCATAACTGAATGAATAAACCTGACTGGGGAGAGAGAGAGTACTTAGGAAACTGAGCTAAGAGGTATAAATGAAGACCACGAACATCCTCATTAATAGATTCATCACAGCAACTATGTATTTAAACTGTCCTGCTAATAGTGCTAAAATGACAGGAACTCCAATCACTAAGATACATCTCGCTTGATATCTAATAACTCTACATAATTGGTGAATAAAATATAGTTTATTTATAAAGAATTGTTTTAGAACAGACTATGAAATGCTGAGTAGTAATTCACAGATCTGGCCACATAGCAACATTCCCAGGAACCTTTATGTAAAGAGAACTCAGATGTCTGAGTCACATCTCACAGCATGTAAAGTTAGATCCTTTGCCTTTGGTGAAGCTCCCTCCAGATGACCACAATACAGAAAAGGTTGAGAATCCTTGCGGTGCAGCACCGTGGCCTTGCTGAACTGGAAACTACAGTCTGTGTCACAGGGACAGGAAGGATGTGGTGGTGGCATGTCCAGCAGGCTTTTCCCCACTGCAGGGGCCTGCCATCATCTTCCCAGCTCTTGGTTGACAGAGGCACCCTCATGTAGAGAATGAATTTGAGACCAGCCTGGGCTGCATAGACTCCAGTTAAAAAAATACCAACAAAACAAACAAAAGATAAAACTTCCAACAACATAACTAAAAGAACCAAGACCCCGAATCTCAGTGAAATCCTGTGTGTCGAGTGGCACACCTTGGTGGGATATGCATTTATAGGTCCTGTTCATTATTCCCAGCATGTCAGCACAGCAGGGGAAACAGGAAAGACTCACAAAGACTCTCTCCAGGTAAGCCTGCATCCCTTACACTGAGTCCTTGTCAGCAATGACACCTTCCCATTAAGGGAAAATGACTTCCTGCCTGTGGATCTGCCACATGGGAACTGTGCAGTGCACTGGACAATTCTGACAGCTTCATGGGACTGCTGTGGATACCCCTCCCCTTCATTATGTTTGAATACTTTCCTATAATTGGTTAGAATCGCTTTACTCGTTATTCTGGCCTCTCCAGTCCAGGCTTAAATAAGAAATCCTCTTAGGTCACAAATTTGAATTTGAATACTAAAATATTCCTCAACATGGCTAAGATGGTTGCTTGGCAGTAAGAGTGTTTGCTGCGCACCCAAGCATGATGTCCTGAGTTCAAATCCCCCATCTGTGCAGAAAAGCCAGGGTGATCCTCTGCATTTGGAACCCCAGCGCAGTTAGGGGCAGAGAGAGGAAGATTGCTGGAGCTTGTTATTGGCCTACCTCCAGGTTCAGTGAAAGGCTGTTTCAAGGGAATAAGGTGGGAAAAAAAACCCCAAGAAACCTAGCATACTCTCCTTGCCTTTGCATATTCAAGGGTGTGGGTACTTACACACACACACACACCACCACCACCACCACCACCACCACCACCACGACCACCACGACCACCACAACCCCCCACAAGCACCATTACCACCATCTATCCATCCATCCATCCATCCATCTATCCATCCACCTCAATAATCAGTAGCATTTATCAAGGACTGGACTGGACTGGAACAGCTAATGGAACAAGGAAGGTTCAAGTTACTTTACTATGTCAAAATACCCCTCAATGTCTGTTATCTGAAGGGTATCTTATCTCTACGAAAGTGTCCAAATGTCAAGGATACCCACCTTGTGAACTTTAAACAGCACCTCACAGAGGTTATAGACACGTTCTGCTCGTCCCCAATCCAGTGTGCTTACCTGTGGGAGATAAACAGCTGCATTTGTGTAGGAAGGGCAAGGTCCTTCAGCTAAGTGCTCCAGTGCTTACCACTATGGAGCATTTCCATATCTCTCAACTTAGATGCTGAACTTTCCTTGCCCTGGGTGACAATGAACTTTATAGTCTGGTGTGGATTCCAGTTCTGTGTCCTCCTCTAGTATGCAACTGGGATGCAAAGGATACTTTATTGATATACACACTGGAAAAATGAGAATTTTATACTCCTGGGGATAAATTTAGGGATCCATTTTTGGATTATCTGTCAATTACATTTTAGTTTAAATGCAGAAATGTACGAAGAGTATACATGTGAGATGGTATGACAATCAAGCAGACACACTGTTGACCAGCTGTCTGTTACTCAGGACTAAACTTCCTAGACATTTCTGCTTCAGAAATGAATGGAAAATTTACCTAATCAATTTATCTGAATATGTTTTTGGAATGCTTGTCATATCATAGCTCATAACTATTCATTTTTGAGTGATGTGTTATGATTTATAATTTACACTCACATATATGATCTCTGAGTTAAAATGTTCTTGGTAAAAATGTACATAATTATCAGCAGTGTGAGACATTTGGGTCTCTTCTGTTGACCATGCACTTAGCCTTGCAGTCAGTAAACTTAAACAGGGATTTTCTGTGTTATCTTTGAGGCAATGAATCCACATGTATTTTATCAGCTGGTGGCTTCTTAGCAATCATCCCACCACACAAAATGCTGCCAAGGTACTTAGATGCAAAGCTACTGAAGCCAGAGCACTAGCCAATGGTGAGTTTGACATGGAAACAACATTGATGTGTTACCATTTAACATATCATTGCTCCAGAGCCAGCTTCTGCTGGAATTGAACAGCAACAAAATACTAGAAAAATACACCTTAAATAGAAAACAAGTAGGATTAAAGTGTTGATGTGAAGCTTGGCTTTGGGTCAGCACTCAGGCCTGGCATGGCTTCTGGGATCAGCAGATGGTGGTTGGTCTTTGCTGCATCTTTCAGATTCAAAATATCTAAGACTTTTGTACCCCTTCCCAAGGCCATGGTGCTCAGGGTTCCAAAGACAGTATTGTCCTAACTCAAAGACAATGCTCACTGAACCTGGGGCTGTTCCTGTCCTTTTGACCTGTATTACTGTTCACCTGGGTAAGGGAGATGCAGATGCCTCTCAGGGTAGAGCCCCAGGGCCATTGGTATTACCAGCCAAAAATAAATCACGCATGGGCAGGCCCTATGCCCAACTTTCCCATTAGAGAAGAGCTGATTATTTTGAGAGAATTAAAAAAGAAACACAAAGAAATGATTAAACACATTATTCGGAGACATGCTCCCTTAATAGCTGACATGATGTTTCAATATGCGTTATACATATTCATAATTTTGCCTTTTCAAAATGTGGTTTGTAAAATAAGCATTTCCCATGTCATTAATTTTTTTTCAGAAATAAAATTTAAATGGTAGCTTAGCATTTCAGTGTGTAGATCCATCATTTTTGTAAGCCTGAACTTCATGCTGGACATTTTAGATTGTGGTTATATTTTAATCATTCTAACAGTGGCTTGACTATCACATTGAGGACATTATGTTCTGATATCTTGTTGTATAAAATGCATCTTCTTCATTGGCTCGTCATCAGTATGTGGCAGAATAGCCTGCTTTCTGAGCTGTATTCTAAGGTAAGGGCAGGAGGAGGTCATGCTCCTCCCCTGCTATATTCAGGGTATTTTCTGGTCACCTGATCTCCTCCTGTCTTAGTTTTCCTATCAGGAGGTCATGCCTGTCCCATGAGGATGACCCCATCTCCATTCTAGCCCCTGAATTGCTGAAAGTGACTGATGCTCCCATCTTGTGTTGTGCATACATCACACCCTGCCCTTCATTATCTCAGTCACTGTGATGGATTCAGGGAAGAGACCTCAACAGAGATACAGAGGAGGTAGAAGGACTAAGATTTGTGGGAAGAGTCATTTCATCATTGGACTTGGGGCAAATGTACCTGAGCATTGCTGGAAGTCACAATAGGCCTCAAAGACTTTGGTTACTGCTAATGTCTTAACACTGCTTCCTTTGCTGTAACAACATGTCACAAAGATGCAAAGTGACCCAAATGGAGGGAGTTAGGTAGGTTGTGGCTGCCTTTTATTGCCTGCTGTTTCTGTACATCTAAAACTCTCTAAAATCAGACTGTTTAAAAAACAGGTCTCTCTCTTCATTCCCTTTCCCCAGGATTCCCAAACTCTTCTTAAAGGCTTAGCTGAGACCCAGACCAGCAGGCCCTAGGAGAGAAGGGACAGGCTATACGCTCAGAGAGGAGCATGTGTGCTCAGCAAAGTCCCACCTTGAGGCTGAGCCAGTAGTCAGACCTGATAGCCCATAACCAGCCTGGTTCTAGCCTGCACAGCAGCCCCTCCCCATGTGATTTTGGTGTAGATACCTCTAATCCAGCAGAAAAGTAAACAAGAGGAGTCTTTGAATTTCTCCTTGCAGAAAATTATCAGCAAAGTATTTGTCACATTCTGCATGGTTCTTTTTACTTTTTATTAGTTATATCTCTAAAACCTGGCTGTGAATTCTGAATTCTGAATTGAATATAACAACCTTTCAAGTAGTTATCCTGATATCCACATTGCTTGAGTAGGAAACAGTTGACATAAACAGCTCTTTGACATATATTCACATATCCATAACAGAATATAAATGCAAAATTCAGAATCTTAGGTCTGCCTGGTCAACAGTATTCTGACAAAAGTGAAGGTCTATTGAGCTCTGCAGGTCCCTGACTTGGTGTTCAGGGCTGAAACCTGGGTAAAGATACAATACCCACCAAGCTCACCAAGACAGAGGTCCTTGGCCTTGCTGTGTTTCAGATGAAGCTCAGTGACCTTGGTTTTAATTTCTAAGTAAAGTGGCATTGGTGCATCAAAAAAGACTGTCTAGTGGGCCAAGTGAGGTGGCCACCTCAGCTTCTACTGATACTTGTAAGCAAGGGAGTCTCAGGTGACCCAGGACTAAGCATTCATACACACTGCTGAGAAGCTGCACAGCCACACCATTCTCCTTATCTGGTGGATTTATGAGGAAACACAGAGTCTCCCAGGCTCTTGAGAAGGGAAGAAAGACTGAGCAAAGAGAAAGGATGTATCTTGGATAAAAAAAATACCGCATTACACTGCAGACCTGCATTTAATTATTCCTATCCTTACAAAAAAGAATTTCTGATTTTGCAAACCAGGTTCTCTGTGATATCATTTCCTCATGTGAAAGGTTCCCTCACACAGGAAGTACAACTTTTTTTTCTGCTACAATACTATCATGGTACCCCTCTCATGGAAGGGATAAGACCTTAAACAGAGAGAAGGGGTACTCAGCTTAACACTCTGAGCTATCATCTAGCTGGATTCTTTAGAAAGTGGCTTCATGTGTCAGTCACTGGCCCTAACTGGTGATGCAGAATCAACACAAGCAGAGACTAGGCCCACTGATTCCAGTCCTCAAGGGTGCACTGCAAAGAGGAGAATAAGCAGGCATTCATGTGAGAAGAGACTAAAGATTTCTAAATCACATATCCTTGCTCCTCCAAAAAAAAATGGCACTTGATGGCTTTCTGACCTGTCTGGCTATCCATGGCTTTTGGTAGAGCAGTATTTTTTACTATAAGACACACTATGTTGGTATCTTTTAGGGTTTTCATGGGATAACAGAATGATGCAGCAATTCTACATTGGATTCATTCTTGTCTACACTCTGCAAACTTTACTTAATTCAGTTCTTTCCAGATAAACTTTTACAAGTGATAGAATATATCTGCCTAATTGACATTCTTAAAATCACTGCTAATATTTTCTATAGGCACAAGGGCCTTCACCACATAATTTTTCCACTAATGCTACATGATGTTGTTAAAATGATTTCACAACCTTACTTTTAACACATTTTTAATGGTGTTTGAAAACATGAATAGCTGAAATATCACCTTTTGGATTCCCATTTGCAAGTCAGAAATAAATATTCTATCAATGAAGTTGAGCAGAGTGAAAAGCAAGGCTGAGGGTCTCAGCCTTCCAACCCTATCTTTCCAGGATCTCTGAGGGTTTTGGAGATAGAGGATGGAAAATGGATGATGAGGTTCCTTTCAGACTAGACCCTGCTTCTTCCTCAGCAGGACACCTCACTGCTGACTCCTATATCTCTCCATCTCCCCCCACTTCCTGAAGGAACTCAGAAACAAACTGTCCTTGATTAAAGGATTTTTTTTTTAGCTTCTTCCAAATTTTCCATAATAAGAATCTATAGGTCCTTCTAGAGTCCATTTCAAAATTCTGACAAGACATGTTGAGAACTACAGCTTATTTTGACTTTTGAATATTTTGACTTTTCTATACTGTCAAGCTTTTATAAATGCCTATAACTGGCCCTTGGGATGAAGGCTGGTTGTGCCGTAACCACTTCGGGAAGCTAGTGACAATCATTTAGGAACATTTACAGAATTTATTCTCTCTAGAAGTCATTTGTGTAGCTCCAAACTCCTGGAACAGAGACTCAACCTCCTTCCCCTAGGGAGGACATGCTGACTTTACTGAAATGCAGTCCATCCTTTGGAGATATGGGTGGGTGTCCTGCTTCAGGCACAAGCTCAGTCCTGTGCATGTGAGGGGACCATGAGCCCCGCTGGGTCCACACACTGGGGAACCTGGCACTGGATGCTCTGTACATTATTAACTGTCTGTCTCTGATCCAGGAGCTTCAAGCTTCATGCAAGGTTAAGTTATTAAAACTTAACTTAATGTTTCTGATTTAGGCAAAGTAAAAACTGTTATTGGAAATTACTAGCAATGCCAAGATATAAATGCTAGGCCCAGGAAACATATATAAATATTTAGGTATAAATTCACTTACCATATTGTGTGTATTACTATGGCAACAAAAAGCTGTCTAATATTAGTAGTATGATTTTTATCTCTTAAATTTTATGTGCTTCAGAGGCTTCAAGGCACTTATGTAAGTAAGCTATCCTGTGTTCACTGTGGCCCGGTGGGATATTCCAGTCAAGATTTATTATCTATGACATATAACTGGGAAAACTGTTGGATAAGGAATGTAAATAAGTTGTCTCATGTCCCTGGCTGGTAAGCAGGACAATTATGCTGAGAACTTACAGCTCCGAGTTATTAACCTGCAGCCAATTCCACTGAGACACACAGAGTAATTCCTCATTGTTCCATACCATCTTTCCTATCTCGCTTTAAAAATTGCTTTGGCTATTGCGGATAAAAGATGAATTTTTTAAAACATTTAATTTTGTCCAACACCATTCTATTATGTAAGGTAATTTTTTATCTTTCTATTTAACATGTTGTCTAGGCTGCTTGCAGCTCTTTACATCTTTATTTCACACAGGGCTGTCCATTTTGAGCATGCTGCAAGTGAATGAACCTCACCTGTTTGTCTCTAGAAATGGACAGGTGTTGAACTACGACAAACATGAAAACCCTGCTTTCATGGTCTGGCTTCTAAGCTTGTGCTTTCGATTTCACTCCTCCTTGCTGATGCTGTACAATATGTAACCAAGGCTTTCAAATTACTCAGAAACTAATCACAGACTCTTTCCTTTGTTGCCCTTAATTATCAATGGAAACAGCTGTCATGTCTACTTAATGGTGTGGCCGGTCATTGTGGCCACCATGACATTATCCTACATTGTGAAGACCCTTGTCCTGGATGTTCCCGCTATGTGGAGCTCTTGTCCCATGGGGCAAGATGACTAGGCCAAGTGTTTGGATGGGCTTCCTCCATCCACCCTCTATAATTCTTTTATAGAATAAAACGACATTTGTTTCCCCCTGAGGATTGCTTCATGTAGATTTGAGGGATTGAAGTACAAAATGCTTTTGAGATTTGCTACCCACCCCTACCTAAAAATATCCAAAGGGTTGATTTTTCCCCTTCATATCCCATTTAGAGAGTTTTCTGACATTTCCAATTCATTGAGCACAGCTGTAGGGGTTTACTATCTCCTAATACAAGGGATTACCCAGTCAGGGACCATTCAGCCATCAGAGAGTGTCTATGTTAAGTCACTTAACCTCCTAACCAACAACTACTTTACTACCATTTTAGAGGGATAGCAATAACAGCTATGTCACTGGAAAATTGAAAATTATATATATATA